TTCGCTCTTCGTTGTCTTTTATTACACCTGTCGCTTGTCCAACGGTGTTGCTAGTGTTATTTTTGAGCGCGACTCATCCGTAATGTTTGTCAACTGGCAACACGTGTTATAAATTTATTTTGGATCGTTTGACAGTGCTTAAATTGCATCGTTGTTTTTTTTAATTGAATTTATATTTTCAGGCATCCTGAGATTTTAAAAGTTTGCAGAATGTGAAACTTTCTTCTATCTCTTTTATGTTGGTTATAAGAGAAGTAGTTATCGCTTGTAGATTAATACTTAAAAAATCTGGAAGCCTGTTGATGTAAAGCTGATCCGTTTAATTTCATTAAACTTAGAACAAATGAAACAAATTCGTTCGCCACAGTGAGTATTTCCTTTGGAAATATTTCTTTAAGACAAAAAATAACTCATATAAAACATAGCCATTGGCTTGGCTCATTTTGACTTTGTTATCAAACATAATTTTTTAGTTAATTTACTAGTTCAAAGATTCAGCGGTAAACTTACGTACAATTAAAAATTAAAATAATATACTATAATGAGACATAACAAGTAGCTATCAGTAGCAGGTTTCATGGAAAATATCAATGTTTCGCGGGCTATAATCAATTTAAATTTTAGCGCCATCTATGATTACGAAATACCTCTATTTCATTTTCAGTTATATGAAATTATTTTTTAGGTTCATTTAAGCAGCGCCATCTATGTGTACAACTTTAATACACGTAAGCAAGTTTGTGTGTTTTTTTCATATCTTTCCCTTAGTTTAAGAGATGGCGCCCTAAAAATAATGAAAATAATGAATTCTTAAATTCGAAACTTAAAACAATAAATTATAAGTTCATAATCTATACATTTAATAACAAAGTAACCACATCAGAATGCAGTAAAAATTACTCATAAGCTTATTTTTATTATAGCTTGCTGTAATGAGTAAAACAGGATTGAATATTAATACTTAAACTATTGTAATATTTAATATTTTATTCTCTGGACTTAAAGTGATTGTTTGAGAGAAAATATTTTGAAACATTTCTTATTATTCGTAATAATATATTGAACGTTTAGAAGTAAAGTAACAAGAAATCAAATTAAATACTTTCTTCAAACATTGATACAGCTAAAGCGAAGCATGTTAATGAATTCCAGGATGAAACGATATGTTTATTGGCTTTAATAAGTTGTAGTGTTTTCAATTTAAGTAAAGATGTGAATTAGACGAAGGCATCAAACTTTTATGATGAAAAGAAAATGATGAACGAATGCGCCAACTCTATCAAGAAATCCCGTCATCAAGAGTTTCTAAATTATCATCATTAAATCATCGTGAAGTTTCTACTGGCTAACAGGCAAGCGATCTTCTTTTGTAGACTCCCTACGTTTTTGTCTATATCTTTAAGTAATTATGAAATTAGACAAATCCAAGTAACTTTCAATTCAATTTTCCGTGTTAGAATAAAGTTATCTACGATTTAATTGTAAAAAAAATATTAAAATGTAGATAAATTACATAAAAAAAATATTTGAAATTTACCATTTAGAGTGCTGTCATATTTGAAATTTTTTTCAATCGGTACCACAATCAGGACCATTTATAGAAATGTAGAGATAAATTAGCAGAAACTTACTTTTATATTGATAAGGTTTTAAAAAAGTTTTGGATATTTACAATATTAACATACAAACAAAATATATGCCATATAAAGTTCACGTCCCTTTTAATATTACTACAGACATTAAAAATAAATGCTTATTTTTGTTTTCTCTCCAATTGTTTAACGTTGCCAAACTGTTCTCTCAGATTTTCCAATTTTAAAACAACATTAGCCCTTTGTTAAAATGAGAAGAAACTTTTTAACGTTCATTCTTACTGTGCTATTTTACTGATCGTTCAGCAAAGATAGAAAATTCATGAAGAATGAAGTAAAAAACAAAACTTTCTTTTCGCAAGTCAGTTTAGAATTGATTACTCAAGTAATCAGTTTATAATAAGTAAATAATACAACATAAAACTGTTTTTAAATTTATTTTTAATTGTATATTGAAAATAGTGGTGGTGATGCATTTTAAATGAACTGCCTAGTGATAAAGTTAATGTTATAAATATTGGATGAATAGATTATAAGCTATAAAAGAAATAAATTAAAAGAGAGTTTTTAAAAACAAGAAATACACACATCACTGCGTAGGCCGGATATATCCAACTAACAGCTTGGCAACCTCACAAAACAATTTGATCGTTTAAGATTGCTTAAAGCTCGCGTGCTCCCACACACTAATACAATTGTAGAAACACATGAACGTGAATAGAAATTAACCTTTTTAATGGCAATCAACCGTTTAGCCACGCAAAAGCCATTTCTTTACATTGTTTACTATTCATATCGACCGGCAAGTCGTAAGTAATATGTGCTTGAAATTCTACAAATTTTGTAAGGTAAAATGTTTTAAGTGTTGTAGAAGTTATGTATAGAAGAGCCGTGATAGCTCAGTGTCCGCGCGCTCGCCTTAATTCAATATACTCGAGCAACCTGAGTTCGATCCCGGTGCTGGCACCAATGAAGTTTTCAACTTTAAGTGCTGACTTATCACGTGCTCCGCGGTGAAGGAAAACATCGTGAGGAAACCTGCATATTTTCAAATTACTAACAAAAAAAATTCGAAGATATGTGAAGTCCGCCAATCTGCAGTGGGGCCGCGAGGCCTTTGCCCAGCAGTGGGACATGTATAGGCTGTTACTTAGAAGTTATGTATTATTATTTGATGAAACTTATTTTATGATTTATTTCGTGTGAAAAAATATTCCAAATTTTACTCCGTATCTTCCTATTATAATGAATGGTTAAACGTTGTAGAACTGTCTATCTGTTCTTTTGTGCTTTGAGTGAGACCTTCACAGGCCAAAACCACGTACCTAATTAAATATTAGTATACTTCAAATATAATTTACAGCAGTTTCAAAGACATGACATTAATTAATTAAGCTACAGTAAGAAGAGACACCTCTTTAAATATGTACTGTGTTATTTATATCTGTGACGCTATTTGACAGACCTGTCTCTTACGCTTGAGGGTGTGGATTCAATTCCCTCTACTCAAAGATATCTTTTAAGAGCATTGTTTTTTTAGTGTCTGGGTGTTTACGGTGTAAAAATATGCCCTGAAAATATTTTGCATCTATTATTTATTTCCAGTTCTACGTATGATCGCAAAATTTACAACATAAATTAAAGACTAATAATTATATCGGAATAATTGCAATCACTAATGTTAAGAAAAATAATGTATTAAAATTGACATTAAATAGTTAGCATTTTTTTTAAGGAATAGATATAATTTTATAGGGTTTTAATCGCGGGGAAATATATACTTGTAGAAATACCGTAAACGTTTCAGTGTCAAAACGTTTTATTTTGTGAACATTTTTCAAAAATATTCAAATATAATTTATAGCAGTTTCAAAGACATGACATTAATTAATTAAGCTACAGTAAGAAGAGACACCTCTTTAAATATGTAATTCCAATTTTGTCTGTGTAATATAATTATATCCATACTAATATTATAAATGCGAAAGTAACTCTTTCTGTCTGTCTCGCTTTCACTCCAAAACTACTGAACCGATTTAAATGAAATTTGATACACAGATAGTCTAGAGCCTGAGAAAGGACATAGGCTACTTTTTAATTGGAAAAAGTGTTGTAAAGGTTTGAAAGATATTTATTTAAGGGCTTCAACGCGAGCGAAGCCGCAGGCGAAAAGCTATTAATAAAATCAAATCACAATCACTTCCTTAACACTTATTTATAGTAATACTTTGATAGAGGTTTTGACTGTGGTTGGGCTACTTAGCAAAGTGTTATACTTTTGCGTTTCGTCTGGTGAGAGGTAACCGCCCTCTTAATTAAAAAGTGTCTACCAAGGAGTCCTGTAAATGTCTGTTGGCGGCGGTTATGATTTAACATAATGTGAAGCGTATTTTCACTTAAAAAGCTTGTATAGTACAAAGCTATGTCAAGCCTTTAGCCATCTGCTAGGCACAAATGGGAGAAAACGAAAAAAATAGTTTTTTTTTTATGAGCCGGCGATTCACCTGATGTTAAGTGATTACCACCCGCCCATGGACATTGTTAACGCGTCGTCGCCGATCTTTCAAAGTCAAAGTTGCTTCAGGCTCTATGAATATAAAATGTATATCGTTACTAATGACTCATTAAAATTCTAACTTTGTCGGAAAATTACGTCCATAATTACCTCGTAAGCTTTTATCAGGTTTCCATGCGGTCCCAACGATAAGTATCGTAGATTGTTTGTACATAGAAACACAATGTGAATATTGCGGTTTCGATAAAAACAATAGTGCTGGGTACAATCGATTTAAATTGCCGATATTCGACCATTTTATGCGAAGCTACATGTCTTGTGTGAAGAGATATTTTTAGGCTTAGACAGGAGTGTTATGCACAAAGGTTTCTGAAAAACATGTCTATTGTATGGGAGCTCAACTTAAATATTTTTTATTCTGTTTTTTGGTATTTTTTGTTATAGCGGCAACAGATATACATAAGTTGTGGAAATTTCAACTGTCTAACTATCATGGTTCATGAGATACAGTCTGGTGACAGACGGACAGATAGAGTCTAAGTTTAAGGTTCCCGTATTACGCTTTGGGTATGGAAAACTAAAATTCCTTAACTGTTATAGAGCCACGCAATAGCTATTTCATTAACGGGCACGCTCATCCGGGAAAATACCACGACCTAACAGAAGAGCTGCGTGAAGTTACACTTCTGTGTTCCGTCTGGTGAGTAAGGTAACCATGGCCCACTTAATTAAAAGTTTACAATGGATCCGCAACCCTACGGGTGTTGCAAGCGTCCGCGGTCGGCGGTTATCACTTAACATTGGGTCTTCCGGTTGCAACGGCGCTCGGTATATAAGATATAAAGCGACGCCGTCGTCGGTTTGTACACAAATTTGTACACGCTGTACCCGTTATGACGTCCGAAGCGCCAGTCGACTACGCCAGTGTTCCCGCGGTAGGCATTCTGCGGGATTATCTCCGAATACGGAGCGTTCACCCCAATGTGGATTACGGTAATTAAAACGGCCCCGTTGCCATCACATTTTCAGCGTGCTTAAAAACGTTTCGTTCTACTTATATCTGTGACGCTATTTGACAGACCTGTCTCTTACGCTTGAGGGTGTGGATTCAATTCCCTCTACTCAAGGATATCTTTTAAGAGCATTGTTTTTTTAGTGTCTGGGTGTTTATATATCTATAATATGTATTTGTTTACAAAAGAAAAGCGGGAACTGGTGACATAAATATACTTAAACAATAAATATAGTGCTTGCTTTGTTTTGTTTGGGAATGGATAACGGTGTAAAAATATGCCCTGAAAATATTTTGCATATATTATTTATTTCCAGTTCTAGGTATGATCGCAAAATTTACAACATAAATTAAAGACTAATAATTATATCGGAATAATTGCAATCACTAATGTTAACAAAAATAATGTATTAAAATTGACATTAAATAGCTAGCATTTTTTTTAAGGAATAGATATAATTTTATAGGGTTTTAATCGCGAGGAAATATATACTTGTAGAAATACCGTAAACGTTTCAGTGTCAAAACGTTTTATTTTGTGAACATTTTTACAAAAATATTCTCGAAAATTAGAATATTTATAAGCGAAGCCGGAAAAAGCCTTGTGTGATATATATTATTTATTCTTATAATGTATATACATAAATTAGAAAAAATATAGGGTTTATTCCACAGGCAAAGCGTAACGCATTTATTTAAACACTATCATTGAAGATTAAGGTTTCATTAAGTGACCAGAAGATTTCTGTCTCTTTGCAGATGAATGCTTGAACTTTCTAAAACGCCAGGCGGCGGAGATCGGCCTACCCGTGCAGGTGTTCGAGGTGGTCCCCAAGAAGCCAGTCCTGGTGATGAGCTGGGAAGGTCTGCAGCCGGAGCTGCCGAGTGTACTTCTCAACTCGCATATGGACGTGGTGCCAGTGTTTGAGGTACGTTTTAGTAAAGTCACAAGCATGGAAGTGCAACAAACAGAAAAGTTAAATTCACATTTCAACGAGTTCGTAACTTTCGATACGACAAGTCGTCGACTTATTAAAAAGGTTTCAAAATACAATTAATCATAACTGCACTTGATGACAAAATACAAATCATATAGTATACAGTTCCGGATCAATTGGTGGCTCGGATCGTGAATATAAAAAGAGTAAATAGAAAGTGATTGTTTTATTTTGTAAACGTTATGAAAGATCAAAATCATTTGTTTTCACATTCTGAAACAATTTCAGGGGGGAATATTGAATTTTAATTACGCTGAATGTTCACAAATTTAGTTGGTCACTAGTTGTAAAACGAAGCGATTGAATTACTTGTAAGGTTTACTCCTCTTCATTGAAATCGACTGGCTATAACATTACAGCGAAGGATATGAATATGCTTTTGATTGGATTGACTATGCTTTTGTAAAAAATGAGTTTAAACGAATGCTTTTAGCCTCATGACATGGCTTTAAGCAATTTCTGCGACCTGCCACGCGCTTTTCATGCTTGATATCTATCTATACAACTTTGATGACAATCTAATACAAGGGTAAATAAAATATTTATCCACCAGCAATGTCCAAAACAAGGGCAATAATAAAGCACACTGTGAATCATCTTTATACATTTTTAATCTTTTTCTGTGTAGTAATATTCCCAATTCTTTTTAAAATATTATTATGATCGGTATTTTTTTAATTTTATACATATTTCTAGGCGATTAATTCATTATACTAGTCAATTATTTATTTACTATATCTACTTTACATTTCTCTGCTGTTGCAAGATTTGCCAGGCTTATCCAGCTCGGAAATAGCAGCTTCATAGAAGACTGTAGTGAAAGTACTAAGCCTTCGCATTTAATCTTGCAAATGAGGTAACCGGGGCTCACTTTTTTAAACATTGGCAAAGCATCGGCAACCTTTCAGGTATTGCGAATGTCGAGGGGCGGAAGTATTAACTAAATATCAGACGAACTACCTACTCTTCGCTTAAGAACTTTTACGAAACTTAGCGCAAGTCAGCAGAAAGTCACCAGGGAAGCGTTGGTACTTCGAGACCGTGCATCACGTTTTTCACATGAGAAACATTGAACATAATTACCTATTGTTATTTTAATTGAAGAAATAATTAAAATATGTCCGAAGTTGACAGTTAAAATATTTGCTATTGCTAATAATATAAATGACATCCAGAGTATATAATGATAAATATATAATGATATCCAGAAAAGCTGGAAACATCCACCGTTCGAAGCAGAGCTGGTTGACGGGACCTTGTACGGGCGCGGGGTGCAGGACATGAAATCCGTTGCCATACAGTACCTGGAGGCTGTTAAGAGGCTGAAGAATAAGGGCATCCGTCTTAAAAGGACGTTGCATCTGAGTTTCGTACCAGGTATTTATTTATTTATTTAGCACGGTTAAATAATACTTATTAAAATAACATAAAGTAAAAAGTAAAGTAACAGCCTATACATGTCCCACTGCTGGGCAAAGGCCTCCTCTATACAGAGGGTATCAGGGCATAGTCCACCACGCGGCCCCACTGCGGATTGGCGTACTTCACATATCTTCGAAATATTTTTTTTTTATTATTTTTTTCGAAAATATGCAGGTTTCCTCACGATGTTTTCCTTCACCGCGGAGCACGTGATAAGTCAGCACTTAAAGTTAAAAACTTCATTGGTTTCGGCACCGGGGATCGAACTCAGGTTGCTCGAGTATATAGAATTAAAGGCGAGCGCCCGGACACTGAGCTATCACGGCTCTTAAAATAACATATTCAAATTGAATGTTGTGCTCGGTTGTTATTTAAATACAAGTTTATCAATATGTATTAGTCTGTTTTAATTTATAATTCTTCTATAATCTATAATTCTATAAGATAAACTTGTATTTCAAGAACAACCGAGAAAAAAAAAGGAAAAAAAATATGCGTGTAAATGATCGTGATACGAACTGCGACCGTCTGTTTTGGGGCCGCCCGATTACCGACCGAGCTATTATAAATTTTTTTGCGGCGAAATTTACCGTCATATTCAAATGATATTTTTCATTCCCTGAAAACAGAGATAAAAGGACATTTTCTAAAAATTAAACCTGGCTAAATCGATTTTTCGACCCCGAATCTACGCACATACTAAATTTCATGAAAATCGCTGGAGCCGATTCCGAGATTCCGATTACTTACTAATTTACTTATAAGAAAGAAGCAGACAAATATTTTCGGAGGACTTAATAGTTTTTTAAAATAAGAATAGTTCAATATTTGATATTCCTACTGTCGTAGGGCTCTCGTAGCTTTTTCGACTCGTCCGGCGAAGTACCAGGGCCTCATAGAAAACCGGCGTGAAGTGGAAGTGAAGACTTGGCAATGCATCTGCAGTCCTTCGGGTTTCGTAGATGTCCATGGGAGTGGATAATTAATATCAGGTGGAGTGCCTGCCCGCTTGGTCGTTAATATATAGTCAGGTCGCAAGTATGCAATAGTAAAATGCATCATAAAACTCCGTTTATCTGCAGCTTACTTAAGTTAATTGCCATTTGAAAAGTGCAGTATAACTAGGAGTGAAACTGGTTATAGCTAATTTTACGCTGCTCTGCGAAATCTCTTCGCTAATATAAAATGTCCAGGAAACTTACAGCTAGATTACTATGATTTAGTCTCCCTCACCGGATAACTAATATCACGACTTTGATAAAGGGAGTTTTGTTATTTAAATATACCTATGTAAGTTGTATTTACGACCTTATATTTTTATTATACGACTGCTTTATTTGCGCGATCAAGCAAAAATAGAGTATTGTACAGCGAATTTCCACAAGTATATTTTTTATAAAAAAAAAAGTAAAAACTACTTCGAATATATTATAATACAATCGATATTGAAGGAAGGGAACTTCCCTTATTCACCTCCTGAGTCCAAAAAGTCAGAAAAAGTACCGTTGAAAATAATATGGAACTATAATGATGGTAACCTACCGAACGCAATGCGAGAAGAAATTTCAAAATGGTTTCATAAATAACAGTAGTCTGACAGTCTGAGGTAACAGACGTAAAAAAATGACCGATTTGAGAAAATATTTTAAAGGCTGTTGAAAAATTAAGTTATAGTTGACAATTCGATGTACCTAAACACAGAAATTGTTAATGAAAATTACAAAAGATTATATTTTGGTATAAAACTCGATGGAAACAGGTTTTGTGCGCCGTCCCTAATGATAATCGATTTCCAGCTGGTTGCCAAGTCCTCTAAATATAGCCATTACAGTCCATGTCGTTAGTGAAGTGTAATGAAATGATGGGCAGAGCAGATGCTCGGATAAAACGGGTGGAGAGTTTCCAGAACATATTAATGCGTAGTGCTTGCTGGGAAGGAGTTGAAGCTTAAATTTGTTATAGCGGAACAGAAATACGTCATCCGTGAAAATTTCAAATGTTTAACTATCACGGTTAATGAGATACAGTCTGGTGACAGACGGACAGACAGACAGCGAAGTCTTAGTAATGCGGTCCCGTTTTACCCTTTGGGTACGGAATTCTAAAATCGACCCCAAAACCGATCACCTAGGAAACTAAAACATTCTGCAATCGATTCAGCTTGCCGTCAATTTTGCCTGCAAAACTAACATTATTCCCATTGTATGATACAATAATTCATTTTATGCCGACTCTTTATTTTTTATTAAATAATTATTTAATATAATATATAAAATGTACGACATGGTACAATATAAGGAAAAAAAAGATACCAATAAAGAAAGGAACTCCGATCCAAATATCCGTCCGTAAGAACCTTTCTCTCTTTTTATGAAATAAAATTTAAAATAGCCGTAGATGTTATACAAATTAAATGCTAAATGTTCCTACAACAAGAAGAATAAATGTTAACACTTACATCCTTAGACCCAAGTTGAATAGGATAAATGAAATAATCAATCATTAAATAAATAATTTAATAATTTGTTAGTAAGCAAAATAAATTAAATAAGCAAAATAAATTGAATAGTCGTCTCTAGTCTTTACTAGACAGACTCTTTTGGCTAATTAATTTCAGTTTAGTAGGGGAGGCTCTGACGAAAATTTAATTTAAATTATGCAAACTTAATGATAGACTAATAAGAAATAATTCTGATCAGACGAAGAAGTAGGCGGTGCCAAGGGAATGGGGGAGTTCGTCAAAACTGAACATTTCAAGAGGCTGAAGGTGGACTTTGCTCTAGACGAAGGTATTGCATGCGCCACAGACGAGTACCAGGTCTACAACGGCGAACGGAGTATTTGGCGTGAGTTGATTTTTAATTATTACTAATATTTATTCAAATAATCACATTTTTTTAGGTTATCAGATTCGGCCATAAAGATCTTGATCCACTGGTACATACTTGTGGCAGACAAAAGAATGAATTTAAAAAAAAAGTGCATTGTGGATTTTGCAGTGTTTAATATTTACTTTAATACTTGGACATTTCGGGCCATTTCGGAAGATTTTCAAAATATTTTTTTACGATCAAAGTGTCTGCAATTACTGAAAATTAGATGGTGCTTTGAGACAAAGATACAATATCATCAAGGCCCAGAGTAGCTACTAAGAGAAAACGTGACGTATCAGGCAATGCATTCTTCTATTATTTGTCTCCCTTAGGTGAAAAATTAACAAGAAACGAAATGAAACCATTGTAATAGTTAAATTATATAGCTAAATTAAAACACTATGATATTCTCTTTTCATCCTTCCATGTTCCAGTGCGTTGATTTACGAATTCACTAAAAATTACAGAAACAAATCCTGACAATTCATAAAGGTTCCAAAGACTGAAATGTATGAGACAATTTGTGACGCCGTATGAATGTCACTAAATTTCTAGACATTAATTCAGGATTCAAGTAATGGTCGAAGTAATGCTCCTTTGGCAAATAGCGGTAATTATGGATAATCTATACGGCTTTACCGTAAAAATTACCTGCCATTTATCACTACTATTTTTGAATTTATTTTGTATACTTAATATATATTCATACTATAAAGTAAAGTAACGTAATGGTGTCTTGTTTTTATCGGCGTGAAGTGGCAGTATAATAATTTCGCGTTTCGTCTGGTGAGTGAGGCCGGAGTCCAATTTTGAAAAGGTTGTCAACGAATCTGAAACCCTCGGGCGTAGCAGATGTCTATGGGCGGCGGTATTCACTTAACATCAGGTGAAATGTCTGCTCGCTGAGCAACTTTTCACATAAAAAAAATATAACAATGAGTATTTTTAGGGCTACTCAATATAAAATAAGGTATTTTTATAATCATAATCTTCGATGTACATAAGATAATTTTTCCCAGTAAAATACTTTTCAACGTTTATGTAATTTTACATTTTTTTAAAACATTGGCCTTACCGTAGGATAACATTATCCTGTGTTGTAAGGGTGTTTTACAAATATAAATTTCACGTAGACAAACATCGACGAAACAATTATCTGTGGGTCACACAAATAGTTGTCCCGTGTGGGCATCGAACCCCCGACCACCGGCGCTGAAGTCAATGCCTTGGCAACTGCGCCACGGAGTCATCAGATTTTTATTTGCAGACATCAACGTGGTATGCCCTGGGAAGTCGGGTCATGGTTCCCTATTGCTCCCGGACAACTGTGGTGTGAAGGTTTGTAGCTGTGGGTAGACAAATAAACAGAATGATATATATATATATATATATATATACGTATATGATGACATGTATGATTAATTATGTATGAATAATACAACATGTTAAAACAAATAGGTAGCTTTTTAAAGTCACTTTGTATAGTGAGTAACGGATTTGACTCCATAACGCGTAAAATTTTGGTTTGACTTAATTCAGACAAGAAACTGTATCGTGGCCTTGGATATGACATGAAGATATTTGTAAAGTCGAGAATAAAAAGCAAAATTAGACGCGAAATTCCGTAAAAGCGTTGCCAGCCTATAATGCAGAAATAAGTTCTCGTCAAAACTGGTTCTACATAATGATCTTATGAGGTTGAAAAGCACATCGGTAGTACAGTATTAATGTGGTAGGGCCGCGCAACAGCGTTCGCTGTTGCACGAATGGGCAGGTCTGTTCGGGTTAGTACCACGACCTCACAGAAGAATGGCGTAAAGTGGAAGTATAATACTTTCGCGTTTCGTCTGATGAGTGAGGTGGCTCGAGCCCAATTTTCAAATGGTTGTCAACGCATTCACAAAAGGCCGGCGTGAAGTAGAAATGTTAAACTTCTGCGGCATTTAGTTTGGTGAGTGAGGTGGCCGGGGCGCATTTTATTAAAGGGTGGCAACGCATCTGCAACCCTACGGGTGTTGAAAACGTCCATGGGCGGCGGTTATCACTTAAGATCAGGTAAATCCGCCAGCCAGCACGTTGCCACTTTATCACAAAAAAACAATAAAAAAAACAGTATCAACTGTGAAATCGTTCTCGAGGGTATATAGTACCGTAATAGACGCAGTGTATACCGTGCATTAAGTATCAAGCCTAAATTTCCCCAGGAGTGCTCCCGGTGATTACGTATAAGATGCGATTTGCAAAGAGACGCATCTTACAAATGTTTCTATAGTGTATCTAATTGCAGCCAAAGAAACAATTCTTGGCAACCCTTGATATTTAGGAACTGAATCTGGGACCTTGAATGTAAAATTGTCAACCATTAATTTTGATACTAACACGGCACATGCTAGGGTTAATTAATATCTGAGTGACTGTTCCATTGGCATTTGCGTGTAACCGCACGATCTTTCATATTACAGCACGATGTGGTAATTAAACAAATTCTCTATAAGATTTCTTCATGCTCAATCTTCTTAAAACCATGTTCACGTCATTTTTTAATCATAATAACACGATTATCTTGTACGGTGAAAAAGATCAAAATTATTATATAGCTACGATGTCAAATCAGTATCTTTACATTATTTTATATATTTATTTTCTGTTACTTTTAATTCTGATCACGTAACTGAAGCATAACTTGAGGATAATAATAAAATATTACCTGATTTTCAGGTCCGCCACATCATTGACAAATTCATGGATCTGCTTCCAAGGACCGTTTGGAAAGCGATCTGTCGCTTACCATTGGTGACGTGACCACCATTAATCTGACCATGATTAACGTTAGTCTGTCGCTTGTGTTTTATAGTAGTAAAAAATTGTTTTCAACAAACTGTCCCGGGAAAAGCTGACAAAATGGACGTCTTAGGATCTAGTTTAAACCACATGTATCTCCCGTGTGTGATCAGGACACGACTGGACAAGAGTTCAGTTATTACTGTCTGTGTATGATTATGCAAATTTTTAATAGTGGCACCAAAAACCGTCATAAATTTCGTTCACAATTTGGTTAGTGCAAATAATACTAAGATTCGTGTCAATAGTATTATTGATTCAAACCGAATATTGGATTTGAATATACTCTTAGAAGTTAGATGAGAGTTTTCTATCAGGTTTTTCTTCTTAATAAAATTATTATCAGGTGGTCTCCGGTGAAGGAATTCAAAGGGAGGAATCCTGCATATTTTCTATAATAATGAAAAATTTTTTCGAAGACATGTGAATTCTCCAGATCCGCAGTGAGGTCGCGTGGTGCATTATGCTTTAATACTCTCAATATCATAGTATTCCTTTCCCAGCCACTGCTGGGCCTTTCCCAGTATCTTTTTTAATGTAGAAGTTTTTTTTTGGAAATAAAGTAATTTGTATTTGTATTTATATCTGCCCTCTGGTAATATATAGGGGACTACTTAATTTTACTTTACTGTCAACAGGGTGGAATTCAAGAAAATATTGTGCCAGAAAAAATCACTGTTAGTTTCGACATTCGGTTAGCACTCTCCGAGAATGTAGAGAAGTTCGAGGAAACAGTAAGTAATCATATTCTGATTAGTATGTGATTATTTTTGAAGAAAAATTGTCTAAAACTTTTTGGCGGTTCTGGGTGAAGCTCTGCCACTCTAGTACGATGCAAAATTCTCGCTACACTGGCGCCATCTAGTATGTATTAACATGCATGTCGACACTTATCAAATAACAATTTTACAATGAATATTCGAACAAGGAATATCGAATTTTCTATTAAAATTTGATATCACAAATTTTATTTTTAACGCTAGTCTCGCTGCACTCAAGATGAAACTTAAAGTTATATACTGGGTTTTGTGGTTCATTAAATGTCGAATAAATCGTCGAATCTGCATCTTCCGACTAAACAATCGTCTAAAAAATAAAATTAATCATAAAAATTCTGCTTTGTATTGTTTTATTTATAACAAAGCCCTACAAATTAATAATTGTTCACATCACTATAGACAGCGCAAAGCGCGGGCTGTAAGTAAGAAGCAGTTCCCATGTTTCTAATGTTCACGCCTCTTACAATCACATTATAACGTTTTCATTTCACATCGGTACAATTTCGACGTAGAAATAATTCCATTTGCTTAGCGCCGTCCAGTTATATATTCCAGTTTCAGTATAAAAAGTACTCCGTGGCGCCGTCTCTGATGCCTGCTATCGAACGGCACAGATTTCGTATTACTTTGACTATGATTGTTTTTGATGTCTATACTCTTAGATAAAGCAATGGTGTAAGGAGGCCGGTGCAGGGGTGTCCTATAACTTCAGCCAGAAGGACGTATACGTGCCTCCGACACCGGTTGATGCCTCCAACCCTTACTGGGTCGCATTCAAAGCCGCGGCGGATAAACTGTGAGTTGTGTATTATGTATATTGTGTATATAAATAACATATTCTGATTTTATAAATTTTTCAACAATGACTCTTCTTCGTTTCCGACTTGCTTATATAATCATTTTCAATATTTATGTGGTGTCAGCAACAAAAATCTTCGCTCCTCGCATAATCGACTTCTCGTATGTACGTATGTACATAATCGTTCAGTGTATGAAACACTCTTCTTTCTTTATCCTGTCTATCTTGTCGGCAGGTCAACTCCATCGTTTATTGTCGGAGTTTATTTATCTGTATATAATTGTATCTATATGTTTCTTTATATATGTATATTATTATATACATAATATGCATATACATTTATTTATAACATAGTTTGTAAATATCAGCGATTTCTTTTTATTTTCTTTACATTTTATACATTACATCTTTCTGTGCACCTACCCAATCTTCTCTGTAGCACCCCAAGGTTGGCTGGATTATAATGCATTTGGCATTAAGTCCGTCTTTGTACTGTTTGTGTATAAAGTATAAATTAATAAAAATAGTAGGTAGGAGAAGCAGAAATGTGGCATGTATCCTTTCACAAACCTAATTTGTGAACTGTTAAAAAGTCACAGCACCACAGCAATATCGTCAATGCAATTTCCCATTGGGGCCTAAAAATTAGGCTCGAATTGCGGATAGTTATAGTGGTCCGTATCAATCAGTGTTATCGCATATTAAATTGCTTTTCAATACTCGTGGGATGCAATTTTATTCCGATTTCCCCAATGCCGCAGCATTTGTGATGCAAAATTTAAAGTCCTCGTTTCGAATGCATATTCCACTGGTGTTATTTTTAATAACAAAGGTAATCGCATTATATTTATTTTCCCGAATATATCAATACTTTTTCTATTAATCTGTATGTCTGAGCATTCTAAGCAATTTGCTCTCTAGATGTGTTGCAAATGACATGTTCACGTTTTCAGTTGTTTACGATTCAAATTTTAAGACTGGCAGTCGTTCAAATTAAAGCCTGTTAACGGACTTCATTACATCGAATATTAGAAAATTCATGGTTACGATAGTTTTCAGATCAAATTTTTATCAAGCAATTCTTTCTTTTTTTATTTTTGGAAAAGACGACCACCACACTTGAAAATAACTCCTGCAGCTGTCTGAATGTATCACGAATATTTAAGGACATGAATTGCAACCCGAACTAGGAGGTACCGTATAATGGAGCACCCATTTGTTTTTATTAATCCTTAACAGCCCGCAATAGCAACTGACTTTTTCATCACTACACATGGCGCCATCTGTAGAGTCAAATTAAAGATCTGTAGGGACATATTTGACGTCAACCACAGACAACATAAAACAATGACAGATCGTGGATAGCATTATTATCACGCGATGTTACGTTTGTCTAATCACTAGGCAAAGGCGATCACAACATCGCTCAGTACTGAAATATAGAGTGCTACAAAAGACAATGTACTGTACAACATTGCGTGTTTTACTCACTTATGTATTGGGTCTTGATAGGGGCCCGAGGGTGGTCCTTGGTGAAGACAAATTTAGGCATTAGTTATTTAGTTACTTAATACCAGGTGTTTTATATTAAGAGACGGCCCATCTTAACAAGATTATTGTAATTACACGCTAATGTTACAGTACCAACTGGCAATAGCGATAGGAAAAGTATGATACCAGTAGGTAGAGGATAAATAGGGCTTCTATTATCAGTGCATGTCAAACTTTTCAAAAGAGAGGACAGATTATACTCACACCAATGCATCTCAAACAACTTCGTTCTACTAAATGCCCCGGTGGCGTTAAGCTACTGGCTTCAGCTCTGGGGGTTGCGGGTTCGATTCCCACGAACGACAAGTATTTGTCTGACCCACAGATAATATAATTGTATCGGATCTGGGTGCTTGTACTCAAGGATGGTTGACGTCAGCCGGGCGGGCGGGTCGGTCGAAAAATCTAGCCAATACCTATAAGAACACGACTCTCATGTTGTACCTACTCCGCCTTGGCGAGATAAAAGCAAAAGAACGAAGAAGTATGACAGGGTGCTTCTTGTCCATGGAACTGGTGGCATTTGCCTCCGACCTAGGTGAGATATATGCAGGAGAACGAAGAAGGAGTTCATATGATAGCGTGCTTCTTTCCTATGGAACCAGTGACATCAGCTTCCGACCTAGGTGAGATAAAAGCAGGAAAACGAAGAAGTTCTTATGACAGGGACCACCCTACCATGGGCAAGAAGCATCTTGCCCATGGAACCAGTGGCAAGTGCTTATGTGGTAGCGCCTTCCATTGAGTCCATGAGCACGAAGCCTCTTGCCCGTGGACTCAGAGCCAGTGGCATCACCCTCTGACCTAGATGAGATAAAAGCAGGAGAACGAACAGGGAGTTCTTATGTTAGCGTGCTTCTCTGGAACCAGAGGCATCAGCCTGGCGGCGCGCACGTTCCCGGGTGGGACGGACAGCCGGTACGTGCGCGCGGCCGGCGCGAAGGCCCTCGGCTTCACACCGGTCAACCGGACGGCGTCCGCACTTCACGAGCACGACGAGAGCCTGCCCGTCGAGCAGTTCCTGAGGGGCATTGAGATTTACGAGTCGATCCTGCCCGCAGTCGCCAACGCTTGAGGGGCCTTCCGCGTCACTGCGATTCACGCGTTTTGCATTCATTTGATTGCGATTGGCTTTCATTAAAAATGTTTTCAATCGACTTATTGGTTTCATTGCGCGCGTTTGACGATTAATCTGAACCTAACGTACGAACGATATGTATACGTTATGTGTGCATGTGTAAAATAACAATGTATTAGTTCACTGCTTCAATATATACGAAAGAATTTTTCGATAATTAACCTATCTATATATTAATATGTGAAGCAAAAACTTTGTACCCCTTTTTAAGAAAATTGCGCGGATGGAGGATTATGAAATTTCCCACACTATTTATATAATTCTTCTGTTCGTGTGTATGTCACTGAACTCCTCCCAAAGAGACTGGGCCGATTGTAATTAAAATTTTTGTGTGTATTCAGGTCGATTCGAGAAGGGTTTAGATTCACAGTTCGGTCCACTACGATTTTTTTTTCATTTCTAAATTGTCGAATTTAAGTTGTGTGTACAGGACAACGTCTGTCCGCTCCGCTAGTTTATATAGAGAAAGAATGCAGAATGCTAATACTTTTTTTTTTTAATTATGCATAACCAATACATTAAACCAATAAAAAAATATTACACACAGTAGCATATATAATTAAATGCGGTCGAATTTCGACCACTGGGTGACCACTAGAATATAATTAATAGTTTTAACTAAGCGAGTAAATTCAACAAGCGTTCTTGGCACTACGCCCCTTGGGTAGGGTTTGTTAAATAATTTATTTACTATTTAATATTTCATATATTTTCGTTCGTTTAACTTTAAGGTTAAACTTAATCGTAAAATGCAAAGCCATAATATCAATAAATAATCAAGATTTATAAATATCTAGGCGAAATCGTGAAATGTAATCGTGAAATGTTTACGTACAGTATCATCACAAACACTCACGGCGTCATCAAGGGGATAGGTAGGTAATATCCATTTCCTTGATGATTATTCCCTCTTTCCACATTCCTTGAACAACGTAAACGCATACACACGGTTCGGTTACCAAAGCGATTTACACGGAAAATGTTTACCAGACGACATATTTATATAAGAATATCATATTGAACATTCTAAAGCGTAGCTCTAACTCACATTCTCAATTCTGCACTCTAAAATGCTTGCGATCGCAGAAGATTAATATTACGAAAGCCTTTGAACTGCAGACCTAATATTTTAAACGAGCTTAGCCGGCGCAGAAGGCACGTATATATTTCCGAATTAACCTTTAAATCTAGCGTAAATACTAAGAGGTGGTGGCGTAATTAGTGTGATAAATTTGCAGTTGCATCCCTGAATTCGCTGCCGAGTGGAAAATCTTTTATGGCGATGCGGAAACTGAGTTTTGATATTACAAATTTCTAAAGTTAATTAAACCTAGTACTTTTAGTTTCACACTGAAGAGCATTTCCGCTACTGCAAAATGATAGTGATACTAAGATTTTTTAATATATATACACTATGTCTTTGGTACGTGATGATAAATGTGTTTGAACTCTTACAAGATGTACTTCTATGCTTAACAAGATGATATATTGGAAAAAAGTAATCGATTATATACGCAAAGTTTGTGCGCTTAATTACATAAAAATGTTGTTGGAAATAAATCAACATATTCCTATGGAAAAAGGTTCGATTGCAATCTTGAAATCATACCGTCCGGAAAGTACACAGATAAATATAAACTTAGTGAAAGAAAAGTGAGTTAAAGTTAAAATTGATGCAACTCCCCAGGTTGCACGACTAATGTACTTTCTTCTTAGTAATGTACTTTCGCAAGATCGAGTCAATTTAGACTCTGCACTTGGAAACCTCCTAACGGTTTATGTGAAGTAAAATAAATTTTATTTATTTGTACTTATTTTGTATCATTTAAAATACAATTAACATCTTATTTGTATGACAAACTAGCTGAAAGATAATACACAGCCGTTACGGTTGGTTCTGTAACTTGTTATGCGCTTTGGGTAGCTTAGAACCGATCTTTGTGGCGATCTTTCAATAAGGTAGGTATATCGCCGGTTTGTATACATACGTATCAGTAAGTTTTTATTTGTTGAGATACAGATTTAATAACCTACAAAGATTATGTTGATGATGTTAATTGTGAAAAACGTTAAATAATTTTATACGATACGATATGTCATACTTTCCAGGTAAAACAGCGAGATCTAGGTTAATCCGAACTTGATAGTTTTTCATAGTGCAATAAATGGCTAATCCCAAGACCATATTTATCGATGAGAGAATCCTCCAAGTAAGTTATAGATTTACCATAGCAAAAATTGCTTAGACATAATTATTACAGGTGATTAGTTCGGTAAAAATACATATTTTCTCTCTTCGTTCAATATTATGTAGTTAACGTAAACGAACAACATCACAACTTACCTTTGGTATAGTAAAAATAACACCAAACCGGAAAGGAGCTGTTAACAGTCGTAGCACGTAGCAAAACTTTGTGCGCGTTTCTTACGTGAATAAATAAATAAGGAATAGTTAGGCGTAACAGGATATTTATGTTAAATGTTATATAGAAAAGTACTGTGGTTTCTTTATTATTTGTTGTGGTTACATAATCGGTTTTCTTAATGGTGAACGTCTTTCAATAACTTGCATTTGCTTTCAATGTTTTTTTTATTAGAGCGGATGACAATGGAGAGTCTCGTGGTAAGCAAGCTTAAATAAATATAAAAATTACAAATTGTATTCATGCCGGAATATGTTACATGGAATTGTGGACTTGCTTACACGAAAACAAAGTAATGGAAACTCGCGCACACATTTAAATTCGGCATGTCAACATTACATTAGCAGAATGATGTAATTCGGAGTTAAACTTTTTTGTGTAAAAGTTGAAAAACCAGCCAAGTGCGAGTCGCACTTTTTTATTCTGTTTTTTAGTATTTGTTGTAAAAGCGACAACAGAAATACATCATCAGTGAAAAATTTCGACTGTCACTGTTCATGAGATAAAGCCTAGTGACAGACGGACAGACAGCGGAGTCTCAGTAATAGGGTCCCGTTTTATCCTTTGGGAACGGAACCCTAAAAAGCCTTTACCAAATTTGAATGGTTTTATATGGGCAGGTTCGTCCAGGGAAGTACCACAGCCTCACAGAAAACCGACATGCGTCTGGTGAGTGAGGTAACCGGGGCCGACTTTTTAAAGGTTGTCAATATATCTGCAAGCCCCTCAGGTGCTGTAGATGTTCATGAATGATGGCATTTAACCATGTCCACATAAAAACAATTACATAATATAAAAATTTTGGAGAGGTAAAAAAAGGAATTAATTCAGGCAATCCACTTGCGTTTCACTTTTTTATTAAATCTCCCTGTATATCTAGACTTCCCCCAAGGTTGCCATACAACATTTTCAAATTCTTTAGTTCTTTGATTCATAGTTATTTAAGCTTTATGCACACACTAGTACAAATGCGGACTTATGCCAAATTTAGTTTTTCAATAGTTTATGAGTGCTGTATTCCGGAGTCTGTTTCTAACACATTAAACTATTTAAATCAATTTATTTTTCTAAAGCGGGATCAATAATTGGAACATTATATCTCTAGCGCTGTTTTAATGTTATTAATTTCTCATCATTACGTTTGTTGTGTTTAATTTTAGTCACAAAGTAAATACGTGATAATGCATTGAGCAATCACCAAAAGTATTTACAATTTATCGAATTTTCTATTCCTTTTAAAATTTACATTTATATATAGGATATTTAAAGTAAGATGTAGAACAAAAGCATGTTTTATTCAATAGCTCGTTTGCAAGGTCTGTGAAAATGTTTACATTTTAACTCAGTTTGAGCACTTGAAATGTAGTAATATATTCTCGAATTTGTGTACTTATATAAAAAACAAGAACTTTGAACTGCGCAAATCGTCTTAATATCTCTTATATATACATCGGTCCGTCAATTAACAAGTTTCTATCTCATCAATATCGTATAAAAACTAAGTATTCGATAAACAGCGAGTAATTTACTAAAAATAGAGTCTTTATTCATCGTTTCACTTCTAATGGTGTTAGAATAATTGTTTGGCTTAATAACCGTTGCAAACATCATAAAACTAACAATTAAACCTAACAAAAATGGATTGATTAGAAAATTTTTACTTTTTACTTTATTGCTCACAATATAGTGTACATACAGGCAGCCTTATCGCTAATAAAGTAATTTCTTCCAGGCAACCTTTGGGTACAGGATATAGATTATAAAGTTGCGGGATAATTTTGACTTTATTTATCTACATAGTATCATACATTCTTTATTTTTGCGGGCACGGGTATTTAAAGATAACAAGCGAAACTCGAAATAAATTGCAAAATTCATTTCAAGTCACGGTCGCTCACGTTTTAAATAGCATTTAACAGAAAATGGTGTTGTCACATACATTCCAATTCAATGAACATGATGAATGAGAAACATCAAAAAGAAAAGTAAAGGATTTGTGTAGCGTTTTAAAACATATAGGCATATCATGATTATTGATGTTCAGACCCAAAAATACACATGTTTTAAATATATATTATAATCTGAATTTAAAAACGCATTATCATATGTACGATAAATAATAAAGTACGTAAGAGCATTAGCCAAAGACAAAAAGTCTCTTTAACAAAAAGCCAAGAAACAGAAAATGAGTTCCGTAACAAAAGAATTTACTAGATAGAAGCTACTTGTACCCATTTCATTTTATATGTTGTACGTCACTTATCATAACAGTAGTTTTTACTTTCTGTCACGAGCACGATATAAATGAGCCTATTTGATGCAGTTGTAGGTTGTAAATTCGATTCCACCGTACGACAAGGAATTTGTTGGTCGCACATAAATATGGGTAATCTATAAAAAGAGATTCTTTGTATGTATGTATGTTCACCTTAAACTTTGGATACGTTAGCCCAATTGATATGAAACTTAGCACCTTATATAATGGGCGAAATGACCAATACCGACGCTCAT